TGCGCAAGAGCCTCCTCATCGGCTGCCAGGTGACGGGCAAGCTCCTCCAGACCCACCTCACCAAGGAGGGCGAGAGCGTCCGCCTCAACCAGGTCAACGTGGACTTCCAGGTGGACACCTCCTCCGACAGCCCCTTCCTCATCCTGCCCCTCACCTTCTACCACGTGGTGGACGACGCCAGCCCCTTCCGGGACATGGCCCTTCGGACGGGCGAAGGCGACTTCGAGCTGGTGGTCATCCTCAGCGGCACCGTGGAGTCCACCAGCGCCACGTGCCAGGTGCGCACGTCCTACCTGCCCGAGGAGATCCTCTGGGGCTACGAGTTCACCCCGGCCATCTCCCTCTCGGCCAGCGGCAAGTACGTGGCCGACTTCAGCCTCTTCGACCAGGTGGTGAAGGTGACGGCGCCCTGTTGTCTCCACGAGACCGTCCGGTTTGGGGACCCCGAGAAGGTGAAGCTGGAGGAGTCGCTGCGGGAGGCGGCGGAGCGGGAGCGGGAGGGAGCACCCCTGAGCGTCCGCATCAGCAACGTCTGAGCGCCCGCCGGGACGCCGCCGATGCCGCCGGAGGTGCCACCAGCCCTGGAGGTGCCACCAGCCCTGGAGATGCCACCAGCCCCGGAGGTGCCACCAGCCCTGGAGGTGCCACCAGCCCCTGGAGGTGCCACCAGCCCCCGAAGGTGCCAACAACCCCTGGAGGTGCCACCAGCCCTGGAGGTGCCACCAGCCCCGGAGATGCCACCAGCCCTGGAGGTGTCACCAGCCCCAGAGGTGCCACCAGCCCTGGAGGTGCCACCAGCCCTGGAGGTGCCACCAGCCCCCGGAGATGCCACCAGCCCTGGAGGTGCCACCAGCCCCGGAGGTGCCACCAACCCCTGGGGATGCCACCAACCCTGGAGATGCCACCAACTCCCAGAGGTGCCACCAGCCCTGGAGGTGCCACCAGCCCTGGAGATGCCACCAGCCCCCGGAGATGCCACCAGCTCTGGAGGTGCCACCAGCCCTGGAGATGCCACCAGCTCTGGAGGTGCCACCAGCCCTGGAGATGCCACCAACTCCCAGAGGTGCCACCAGCCCCCAGAGGTGTCACCAGTCCCCGGAGGTGCCACCAACCCCCGGAGGTGCCACCAGCCCCTGGAGATGCCACCAGCCCCTGAAGGTGCCAACAACCCCCGGAGGTGCCAACAACCCCTGGAGGTGCCACCAGCCCCCGGAGTTGCCACCAGCCCTGGAGGTGCCACCAGCCCTGGAGATGCCACCAGCTCTTCCCCCCTTCCTCGCGGCATGGGGCAGCTCCCTCAGGGACCCCCATGGGTGCCCCCCGCCTGCCGGTGGGGCTGTCCCCCCCCTGCCCCATCCCCTTCCCCCCCTCACCTAATGCTCTGCTAACACGAGCCAGAGACCCCCAGCCCCACCGCAGGACCCGATCCTGCCGGGAGATGCTGTCCCCGAGGGGTGGGGGGGACACACGGCCACCGCCAGCCCCCGGGGACATTGCTCCGCGCCGGCCGGGAGCCCTCTCGCCGCCTGCTGCCGCCCCGGGGCTGAGACCCGACCCGCTCGCTGCACGTGTGGGCTGGGGAGCGGGAGGCTCTGACCCCTCATGGGACACCCCCCCCCTCCCATCTCTGGGTACAGGACCCCCCTCCCCAGCCTCTCTCCCCCCTGCACGCCCCCGCTGTCCCCATGGCCCACAGCACCCAAAACACCGGGGGCCACGGGGGCACCCCCACACCCAGGGTCATCGCACACTCGACAGGGGAAACTGAGGCAGGAGAAACCCCTGAGCCCCTCCCGAGTCAGGCCCGCCTCCCTGCACTGACCCCCCTCCCCACCCCGGGCTGGGGGGGGGGAACACACCAGGGTGTCACCGATAATCGGACACGGCTGCGGCGCCGCGTCCCCCCGGGCCGGGGGCCCCCCCGGCCCCGTCGCTGCTGCTAACGTAGAGCTCTGCTATTAACGCGCGGCCCCGGCCGCCCCCCCTCGCTGCGCTGAGGCCAGGAGATACATATACATACGTATATATATATATATAGTGCGACTAATCTATATATATATAACGGGGAAGGAAGGTTCCCCCCCCGCAAAGACTGGCTCGCCGAAGCCCCGCTGCTGCCGGGGCACCCCGGGGCTTCCTCCTCGATTTGGGGGGAGAAAAGGCGAAGCAGTTACTAAATAAAGGTTCTGTTGATGGTGGGGAAGGGCTCTGCCGCCTGCGCCGGGGGGAGGGGGCGGCCTGCGTGTCACCCTTGGGTCCCATCATCCCCCCCAAGCAGGTGCCCCCCCCCGCCCCGAAAGGGCACCAGGCGCTCGGTACAAGGACACAGGTTTATTTATTTCCAGCAGCAGCCACCCGCAGCCGTTACCCGCGGGCTCAGTCCAGCCCCCCGACCGGGACCAGGGGGCAGCTGGGGGTGGCACTGGGGAGATGCGCTCCCACCCCCCCCCCTAGGACAGGTGGGGGGATGTGGGGTTACGCCAGCCCCCACCACAGACCCAGCCCCCCCAAGGACATGGCCGAGAAACCCCCCCCACGGCTCGGGGACACAGGGACGTCCCCAAAGGGCAGCGGTCCCTGCGTGGGGGCACAGCCGGGCCTTGGGCCCTGCTGGGGAGGGGACAAGGTGGGGGACAGGACCTCCCCCCCCCCCCGAGAACACCTGAGGAGGCTGCAAAGGCACTGGGTGAGACTTAAAAAAAATAATAGTTAAAATCACGGCGTAGCTACAGTAATTCGGAACATTTACAAGAGCTGGTGGCGCGGGAGGAGCTTCACACCAGGAAGGAGGACGTCTGCTTGAACTCTCCCTGCGGGGACAAGGGGGACATTAACGGGGGGGGGGGGGGGGGGGGGACAGGGGAGGGGGTGGGGAGCACCCGGCTGGCTTTGCCACTGTCCCCAGGGACAGCAGGTCACGGTCCCCAAGGAGCCCGGCTCGCCCCGAGCAGGACAGGGACGAGGATGCTGGGGACAGGGGTGGCAGCTGCCAGCCCAGGGGGGCACCGGGGCCCCCGCTCACCCCCTTCGGGCACCCCCTTCGGGCACCCCCCCACCGGGAGGGGCCGCGGCCGCATGGCCCCGTCACCGCCCGTCCTCACCTCGCTGCGGTGCGAGGGCTGGCTGTAAATCACCTTCTTGCCGGCGCTGCTGCGGAAAGCGAAGGGGTTAGGAGACGCCACGCTGCCCAGGGTCCCGTCCCCCCCCCGTCCCCCCAGGGACACCCGAGGCACCTTCCCAGCCCACGGGCAGGGGCTGGGGGAGGAAGAGGCCGCCCGTCCCCGCTGGCGGAGGAAGAGGAGGCAGCCGGGAGGGAGGCAGCAGCGCTACGGCTTCACTTACTCTTTTTTCTCTGAAATAAAAGAAACAGGGGTTTTAGGGAGGGGCGGGGGGCACCGGGGCGAGCGGCTCGCGGCGCGGCACTCACTGCTGAAGAAGCCCCGGCTGTAGGCGAACCAGACGCCGAAGGCCGCGAGCGCCAGCACCATCAGCAGCACCACCACCGCGGCCACGATGCCGCCCACGTTGACTTCGCCTGGAGAGGGGGACCGGGATGTCAGATCCCGGCACGGAGACCCCCCCCCCCTCCAGCCCAGCACCCGCGGAAATCCCGGTGGGAGGGGGGCCCCCAGCCCAACCCCAGCTCCGAGGGGGAGCGGGCCGCCCGTCCCCAGGGGGGCAGCTTCCCCCCTTCCCCCTCCACGGCATCACGCCGAGGGCTTGTGTCCGCCCCGGCTGCGGGAGACCCCACAGCAAGGTCATCGGCAGCAGCACCGCTAATTAACGCCTCCCAACCCGGGGGGGCGACGGGGCGACAGCATCGCCTCGCGCCGGCTCCAAAATACGACCGGTGCTGGACGCGGCCCGGGCAGAGCCTGGACAGGCCCCACGCCAGCGCCGGGGAGGGGGGGGGGACAGGCAGCACGGGCCCCCGCTGTCGTTCCTTACTGGCTTCCATGCGGCTGACGTCCGATTTCTGGGGGGACCCCACGCCGTTGGTCGCCTCGCAGTAGTAGTCGCCGGTGTCGAAGCCGCTCAGGGGCTCGAAGATCTAGAAGGGGGCAGGGAGGTGAGAGCAGGGCGGGGGAAGGCGGGGGGGGGGGGTCCCCAGTTCGGAGCGCCCCGTGCTCACCAGCTCCCCCGTGGAGGGGTCCAGGGTGTAGGAGGAGTTCCGGAAGGTCGGGCTGCTTTTGGGGTCGGCGGGCATCAGCATGCTGTCCCGGTACCAGCGGAAGGTGGGGGGCGGCGAGCCGTCGGTCTCGGTGCAGCGCAGCACGGCCTTGCTGCCGATGGTGGCCGAGGAGGGGACGTGGGCCGCCGGCTTGGAGGGGGGAACTGGGGAGAGCGCGGCGGCGGGGACACGGGTGGGCTCAGGCAGGGGGGGCGAGAAGCCCCGCGAGGGCCGGGGCGGCGGGGCGGGGGGGCGGGGGCCGCACCTTGGACGATGAGGTTCACCTCGGACTTGGCGATCTGGCTGCCGTCCCCCACCACCTCGCAGATGTACCTCCCCGTGTCCTCCCGCGTCACTGTGCCGAACTGGATGCTGGTGGGCGAGAACCGGACCCGGCTCTTGTACGGCTCTGCCGAGAGAGAGGGGGCAGCGCTGGGGACCGGCTCGGACAGATGGACAGCCCGGGCCGGGGGGTCCCCGGGGGGCGTACCGGTCAGCTCTCCCTCGTAGTAGAGCAGGACCAGCGAGGAGCCCTTCTGGAACTTCCACTCGATGCGGGTGTTGCTCCAGCCGAAGGGGTACGCCGAGCAGGGGATTTCGGCGGCTGCGGGGGGGGGGGGGAGCGATGCTGCGGGCCGCTGTGCCCCACGGCAATCCAAACCCGGACCCTCCGCGCTGCGTCCACCCGTGGGGGGCCCGGGGAGAGCCCCGTTTGCAGCACCAGAGGTGCTGGGGGATGCGGCTCAGCCGTGCCCCCCCCCCGCCCCCAGATAACGGGGGAGGGGGACACCACTGGGGGGGGGGGGGGGGGGGGGCACTCACGCTTGTTTTCAGGCACTTCTCTGATCTCGGAGGTGACCTGGGCTCCCACCAGTGACACTGTGGGGGGGAAAGGACACGGCTGAGAAATCCGGGGGGGGGGGCCCCAGTGACGGGGTACGGGGGCTGTGGCCGGGTCAGGGAGGTCACCGGGAGCCCTGAGGCGGCGGTGACGGGTCCCCAAGCAAGGGGTGACCCACGTTGTGCTGCTCCTGCTCCGCCTGGCACGTCGCAGCCCCGGGAGCTGGAAAATCCCGTCCGGCCTGCTCCGGGACTCGCGTCACCTCCCGCCCTGCCCGGTTTCTGCCTGGTTTCGCAGGAAACTAGCTGGGGCGTTTCGCAACCACCTGCCCTCTGTGCACACACACACACACACACAGAGACACCCCCGCGTCCCCACACGCCTCGTCCCAGCCCGCACACGCGTGCCTCCTGCCCTTCCCCGCAGCCATCGCTCCATCCCGGCTGCCGCCCGTCTCCCTTGTCCTCAGAGCCGGCGTTGTCCCACGGCAGCCACGCGCCGGGGACGGCGACTGGGAACGGGCACAGCCTTGTCCCCAGCTCACCCGCACCTCCGCACCCCAAAACCACCACCAGGCAACACCCCGGGGCACAAAGAGCGACTCTGGGGTGCAGCGAGGGGCAAACAGGGCACACGGTGACCCCACGCCCGAAGCGCTTCCCAGCACAGGGCCCGGCGCGGTGGCACGGTGCCGGCTGGGATCACCACCGGACCCCCAGCGTGGTCACGTCCCGAGCCGTGCCACGGCTCAGGGAGGAGGGGAAAAGGATTTGGGGCAGAAACAGCAGAAAGGTGACATCCCACAGAGCCCACGGGGGGAGCTGGAGCGGGACGGGGTCCCTGGGGCGGGTGTCCCGGCCAGGACGCAGGCGCTGCCGGCACCGGGTCCAGGTCAGCTGGGAAAGGGTTAATCCCAGAGATTGTTCCAGCACAATGAAGGGGAAGTGGGGCAGGGACAGGAAGGCCACGGCCAGCCCAGCCCCATCCCGGTGACAAACCCGGTAACTTTGGCCTTTGGAAGGGCCGGCGGCTCACGCTGGCTACTCATCAACCCGGGGGGGGGACACGGGACGGGGGACACCCCCGCCATGGGGCGAGGGGGACGGGGGACACCCCCGCCATGGGGCGAGGGGGACAGGGACACCCCCGCCATGGGGCGAGGGGGACAGGGGACACCCCCGCCATGGGTTGAGGATGGGGGGCATGGGGACATCCCTGCAATGGGGCAAAGGGGGATGGGGGGACACCGAACCATGGGTCGAAGATGATGGGGGGACACTTCCGCCATGGGACATCCCCGCCATGGGGCGAGGGGGGGACACCCCCGCCATGGGGCGAGGGGGACGGGGACACCCCCGCCATGGGGCGAGGGGGACGGGGACACCCCCGCCATGGGGCGAGGGGGACGGGGACACCCCCGCCATGGGGCGAGGGGGGACGGGGGACACCCCCGCCATGGGGCGAGGGGGACGGGGACACCCCCGCCATGGGGCGAGGGGGGACGGGGACACCCCCGCCATGGGGCGAGGGGGACGGGGGACACCCCCGCCATGGGGCGAGGGGGGACGGGGGACACCCCCGCCATGGGGCGAGGACAGCCGTCACCCGCGGGCCGGGATGTTTTGCCGTGGCAGGTTTCCGGCCCCAGGAAGCGCAGCTGGATCCACGCCCCGTGCTGCCGGTCCCCGCCGAGCCCCCCCCAACCCCCCAACCCCCCCAGTTACCCCGGGGGTCGCTGAGGTGTCGGGACGGGGCCAGCGGCACCCGCGCAGCCCCTGACCCCGCGCCCGGCCGGGGGCCGGTGCCTCGCTTCCCCCGGGAGCGCCCCTGGGCTGGCGCCCCCCCCGCCCCGGGGTGACCGGGGCCCTGCGCACCCACCAAACCAGCCCGGAACCGTAAATAACGGGGCGGGGGCGGCGGCGGCGCCGCCGGGCGCGGGAGGCCGGGCCCTAACGGGGCTGCCCCGGGGCCGCGGGCGGGCACGGCCGGGCTCCTCACCGTCCGTTATCGCGGCCTGCGGCGGCACCGGGGCCCCCGCGCGGATCCCCCCCCCCCCCCCGCCCGGTGCAAACGGGGCTCCCGAGAGCGGGGGCGGCACGTGGCACCGGGGGTCCCCCCGCCCCCGGGAGCGCCAGCCCCGCCCCAGGCGGCAACACCGCGACCCCCCAGTACCGGCAGCTCCCCGGGGGACCCCCCGCCACCTTTCCGGTACCGGCACCGCCCCAAAGGACCCCCCCAACCTTTCCGGTACCGGCACCGCCCCAAAGGACCCCCCCAACTTTTCCGGCACCGGCAGCTCCCCGGGGGACACCCCCCCCCCAACCTTTCCGGTACCATCACCGCCCCGCGGGATCCCCCCCCGCCCCCGGTAACCGGCGCCTCCCCGGGCCCCCGCCGGGCCGTTGCTCGGGCACCTCGTGCCCACTCACCGGCCGCCGCCCCGAGCACCAGCAGCACCGCCAGTGGCCGTGGCCGGGGCCGGGGCCGGGGCCGGGTCCCGGTCCCGGGGCCGCCCCGCCGCGCCGCTCCCGCCATGGCCGCCGCCGCCGCCGCACTGCGCGCCCCCGCCCGCCCCAGGTGCGGCCCCGCCCCGCCCCGCCCAGGTGCGGCCCCGCCCCCCGCCCCGGGGCCGGGCCAACCCGGCTACGCCCCTCCGCCAGGTGCCGGGGAGCCCCGCCCCTCCCGCAGTGCCATTGGCCAGGCCGCCTGTCTCTTCCAGGAGGGGGTCGCGCCCCTCGCCCGTGACTGGCTGGCTCGGCCCCGCAGCGCCGGCTCGATTGGCTGAGGCGAAGGGGCCGCGCGAGCGACAGGTGTGGAGAGGGCGAGGCCGGCCGGCCAATCAGCGAGAGCGCTGTAACTTCTGGCCAATGGGCGCGCTCCGCATCCCCTCGTGGCGGCCCTCCGCCCGGGACCCGGGGGTTGCCATAGCGACGGGGCCTGCGGCCTCCTCAGACCCCCGAGGGCTCCCGGTGCCCCCCGGTGCCCCCCAGGACCCCCCGGCAGCCCCCCCGGCAGCCCCCCCTACCTTCCAGTGCTTTCCTCCTGCTCCTGGTTCTCCTAGGGAGCCATCCTGGCACAGTGAGGTCACACCATGATGTCACACTATGATGCCACAGCATGATGACATCACAACACAGTCCCAGCACAAGAGGGAAGGGGGGGGGGGGGGGTCCCTGGGAGCCCCCACCCCCGTGCCTGGGGGTCCCCAGGGCGCTGCAAGGTGGGGGCACTGGGGAGGGGTCCCGCGGGTGCTGTAAGGGGGGGGGGGGGTCCCTGGGAGCCCCCTCCCGAGCCCCCCGGGGGGTGCGAGGAGGTTTGGCAGAGAGAGGAGGGAATAAACCGTAGGACCTGGAAAAACAAATCACTATTTTTATTTATTTTCGCTTTTTAAATTCAGAGAGTTTTTAAAAAAAAAAAGTCTGGGCCCACCGGGCCGGGCCAGCCGCAGTGGGCAGGGACTGGGGGGGGGGTGGGGGGGGTGGGTACAGTCACCCCAGGACCCCCTGCACCCCCAGGGGCAGCCCGGGAGGGGCGAAAGGTGCCGCAGCCCCCCCCCAATCCCGGGGAGGGGGTGCTGGGGTTGGGGGGGGGGGGGTGTGTCATCGCGGGCACAGGCGGGGGGGCAGGGAAACTGAGGCAGTGCTGGGGGGGGCGGGGGGGGCAGCAGGGCCGGCGCCCGCCTGGCCAACAGCGTGTGCGGGAAGCGTGGGGGGGGGGGGGGGGAGAAAAGAGGGACACACACACACATGTGAGAGTTGGGGAGATTTTGGGGGGGGGGGGGGACGACACAAACCAAACGGGAGGGTCCTCGTGTCACGCCAGGGAGATGCTCGCTGCTGGGGGGGGGGGGGGGAAGCAGGGGGGTTTAGGCGTAAGGGGAGGGGGGGCAGGCCCCCCCCCCCCGCCAGCACCCCCCCCGTCCCTGCCGTCCCCCCCGTCAGTGGCTGTCGTTCTTGATGACGATCTCCACGCCGTGCTGGCGCAGCTGCGCCCGCAAGATCAGGTTCTTGTTCTTCAGATCTTCCACCTGGGCGGGGGATAACGGGGCGGGGGGGGGGGTGAGGGTGAGCGCAGACCCCCCCCCCCGTTCCCCAAAAGGCCCCCCCCCCGCCCCCTAACCTGCTGCCGCAAGACCTCGTTGTCCATCTGGAGCTGGTCGAGGCCCTGCAGCTCCTCGGAGAGCCGATGGTTGCTCTGCCGCAGCTCCTGGATGTAGTCGCAGGCTTTGGAGAGGATCCCTCCCTTGCTCTGGGCGGGGGGACAAGGGGGGGTGAGTGGGGGGGGGGGCACCACCACCCCCCTGCACCCCCCGGGGAGACAGCGGGGGGTCCCCGACCTGCCCCGACTTGGTGTTCTCCATGGAGCAGTCGGGGATGATCTTGGAGAGCTGCACGATCCAGTTGTTGATCTTGTCCCTGCGCCGGCGCTCCACTGCGAGGGGGGAGCGAGAAGGGCGGGGGGCATCAGCACCCACCGGGCATCGCGACAGGTCCCCCCCAAAACCTCACCGCCCCCCCCCCAAGAGCTGGGCATTTCCCCCCACCAAAACCAGCACCCCCCCAGGCTGGGGGTCACCACCCCTCATCGCACTGGCACCCCCAGAAGAGGGGGGAGGCAGGGACGGATCCGGCCCCGCTGTGTGTCCCCCCCCCCTCTGGACCCACCCCTCGGGGGCGCGCTGCCAAAGCAGAGGTGAAGCACCCCAACAGCCCGGGCTCCGGACCCCGATCCCTCAGGGGCGCGGGCAGGGCGGGCACCCCGCCTGCTCCCGGGGTGGAAGGGTGGCGATTTTTTGGGGTCAAACCAGCCCGACGCCCGGGTTTGGGTGGTTTTGAAGCCCGAAGGAGGATCCTGGCGGGCACGGGGTGTGCTTGGGCTTCCCAAAATTTGGGCTTAATCTTCTCAGGTCTGGGTTTCCCCCACTGCTGCTTAATTACAGCTCCCCCCACAACAAGCTTTTACCCTCAGCTGACGAGCTCTGTGCTGTGCCAGAGTGTTTCCAACCCAGTGGCGGGGACAGACGGCGCTAACCCGGGGACAGCTCCGCTCCCCCCCGCACCCCTTTCCGAAATTGGGGTGACCCCCGCCCCCCCCCGCTGCCGGTACCTTCGTTGTGCTGCGCCCGACGTTTCTCGTCCCGGGTGGCCCGTGGTGCCTCCGACTTCCTGGGGGGAGAAGCAGGGGGTGTCGGTCCCGGCGGGGATCTGGCTGCGTCCCAGCCCCCTCACGCTGGCACGGCGGACACCCCGCTCCGGCTCCCGGTGCGGACTGGGGACACCCAGCCCGTTCCCCAAAGCACCAGAACGTCGTGTCCCCCCCCCCCCGCCAAGGCTGAGGGGGGGTGCGACACTCCTGTGCCCGGTACTCACGGGGAGTATGGGTGGGCACGGGGGGCAATGGATCTCTGCGCCCCACCCTGCAGCACCTCCTGAGGCGACATCATCACGAAGAATTGCCCTGAATGGCCCAAAATGAGAGCGGGAGGGAGGGAGGGGGTCAGGCGGGGAGCGCCCCGAAAGGCCTGGGAGGGACAGGGATGTGACACCCCCTCCACGGCCGTACCTGTGGGGGTGGGCTGCCCCAGGAGGGCCTCCGAGTTCTGCGTGGTGACGACGGCGGTGGCCGTGGTCCCCGCGCCGGCGGAGGTGCTGGTGTCGGCCACGGCCGTGGTGGGGAAGTAGGTGTAGTGAGTCTCGGTGGCCGTGGCCTCCGTCTCCACCGCATCCTCGCTGGTGAAGGCGCCCTGGATGACGGCCTGGAGCGGGGGGACGACAGCGGGTGCCGGGGTGGGACAGGGCACCGAGGAGGGCCCCCCCACGCCCGCCCCGGCGCCCACCTGTGTCATGGACTGGGCGGCGGGGTAGCCGCTGATGGCGCTGGTGCCCTCCGTCTGTCCGTCCAGCTGTCCGTCGGCCACTTGGATCACCCTGTACATCACCTGCCGAGAGAGCCGCCGCCAACCCCGGCATCCGGACCTGCCCGGCGCAGGACGGGGCCGCGGCGCTCCCCGCGGGCCGAGCCCCACCCGGACCCCCCCCACGCCCCGCCCTGGACCCCCAAATCCCAGCCGGAGGGGCTGCGTTACCTGCGTCCCGCCGTTCTCTGTGCGAAAGACATACTTGATGTTGGGGTCGGGGAAGGTGGCCGCGGACTGGATGCTGGCAATGGCGACACTGGTGGGATCCTCACCTGTGGCCACTGCACCTTAAGGCAAAAAGAAAAAGGGGGGGGGGGGGGGGGGAAGCCCATGACGGGGAAGGGGCTGAGGCGAGGACCCCCCCCACGCTGCCCGGGGGGAGCTGGGAGCCGCCCTCCCACCTCCCTGGGGACTGGCATTCGCCTGGCACCTGCCTCCAGCCACAGGGTGCTGGGGCTGAACTGGTCATGGCCCCCCCCCGGGCAGCCCCCCTCAAGCCCAGAATTGGGGGGGGGTCTCCCCGCTCACCTTCCTGGATTTGCACCGTTCCCTCTTCCGTCTCGGCTGCTTTCTGCTGCCTACAAGGGTGAGGGGCGGTGGGTGAGGGGCCGCGGGGACCACCCACGCGCCCCCCCCAGCGCTGCTGGGGTGCGGGGGGCACCGGCAGGCACTTTTGGGGGGCGGGGGGGGTGTGTCCTGGCACTCACCCCTTCATCGCTCCGCTCCGTCAGGCATCAGCGGGGCAGTCGCAGAGGAGCCTCCCGGCCTTCACAGCCCTGCGGGAGCCGAGGCGGCGGCTCAGGCCCAGCCTTCCTCCTCCTCCTCCTCCTCCTCCTCCTCCTCCTCCCCCCCCCCGGACCCGCCGCCCGCCCCGGGAGGGGCATCGCCCGCTGTCACCGGGGACGGGGCCGCAGCCGTACGGGCCGCCGCGACCAGACACCGGCGGGGGCCTCGGGGGCCGTTTTGGGGGATGTCGTCGTGTCCCCCCCCGCCCCGTTTCACGCCCACGCCCCGGGTGACACAGCTGTCCCCAGAACCCCGCGGGTCGCGGCGCGGGGGGTGCCACGGGGTGTCCCTCCCTCCCTCCCTCCCGGCCCTTTGTCACCCGCCGCGGAACGGGGGGACCCCCCCCCCCCCGGCCCCCTCGAAGCGGCGGGGCCGCCCCGGGAACCGGTTCAGCCCCGTGTCACCGGCCCTGCGCCCCCCCGCCCCCCGGAGTCCCGCCCCCCCCGCCGGGCGGGGAAACGGGGGTGTCAGGTCTGGGGGAGGGGACGACGCCCCCCCCGCCCCCCCCGGAAGGTGACAGGGTGCGGGTGGCAGCGCGGGGGGTGACAGGCCGCAGAGGCGGGGGGGGGGGTCCCGGCCGCGGCCCGGCGCAGAGTGACAGGCCCGGAGGGGGCCGCGCCCCGGGGGACGGCGGATCCCGGGGGGAAGGGGAGGGCCCCACAGCCCGCGGGGGGGCGGTGGCGGGTGGGCCCCGCGCCCCCCGGAGCGGAGAGGGGAGGGGGGGGGGGTCCCGGTGCCCCCCGCCCGCCCCCGCCGTTACCTCGCCGCGCCGGGCCGCCCTGCGCGCGCTCGGCCCCTTGTCTCGCCATGAAGCCCCGCACATGCGCACGGCGCCGCCGCGCCGCCATGACGGATCCGGGCGGAAGCGAGCCCCGCCTCCGCCTCACCCGCGCCCACACACACGTACGCCCCCCCCCCACCTCCCCCCCACCCCCCCCCCGGGCGCCATCTTGGGCAGGGGCGCCGCGTAGCGCAGCGCGCCTCCGCCGCCATCTTGGGTGAGGGCACGGCCTCCCCGCCCCTCCCCGCCGGCGCCATCTCAGCGCCCGGCGCCATCTTAGACGGCGAAGCACGGCGCTTCCGCCGGGCCGCCATCTTGGGTGAGGGCGGCGCCATCTTGGAGGCGGGCAGAGCCCCCGTCCCCGTCCCTCGCACCCCGCTGGCGGGACCCGGCCCGGCGACGCTAAAATTATTAGAAATTAGATATTTCTGGAATTGAATGATTAAGATCGATTAAAGCTGTTTTAACCATTTGACCGTTGTGGTGCAGATGGGACCAAACAAGCGAGGCACAGTTAGAACAGCTGTATGACAAGGAACTCATAAATAATCTGACTTGAGACGGTTCGGCCTTGTAGCATCCGGCGCAAAGAAACGTAAAGGTAAGGAAGCTGCAAATTAGCAACAAAACCTGAGCAGGCCGGCCTGGAAGGACAAGATCCACGCGACCGCAGGACAGAAGTAAGGGTCAGCCGGCGGACGTGGTGAAGAGGACGACGAGCCTTCGTCTGAAGACCCCGACGACCGCCCGGAGACCCGCGGCGTGCCGCGGGCGGCGTTAACACGTGCTAACGAGTTCTGGGGAAAGGTAGGAGGGTGACGAAGAGTCCTCGGAAATGTGACGAGTACGTGTGGATGTGGTGGTGCGAATCGCTCGTCCACCTCCTCTCGGTGCGCACGGGAGGAGGAGCGGCGCACGCGGCGTGGCCGGCGCCGTAACGAAGGGCGCCCTAACGAAGAGCGCCGTAACGAAGAGCGCCGTGCCCGCGCTCGGAACCCCCCGAGCTGGGTCTCGACGAGTAGATCAACGACCGCGTCCTGGCGCGAAGGGACCCCCCGCCGGGTCCCCGAGGCCACCGCGCCGCCCCGAAGGAAGCTGCAGCGGCAGGAGCGCCCGGCGCCTTCAGCGGCTCCGCCGGCGCCCACGCACGCGCCCGCCGGCCCCGGGGCTCAGCGCTCGCCCGCGGCTCCCTCGGTGCCCGCCGGCCGCCGCGGCGGGGGTCTCCTCGCCGGCCCCTCGCCCCCGGGGGCCGCCACGCAGCTGAGGGGCCGCAGCAGCCGCGGCCTCAGGGGAGCCCTCTGGAAGGGCAGCGCTTTGGGGGCGGCGGGCGCCGGCTCCCCCCCGCCGTACGTCTGGATCCTCCTCACCGGGGCCGGCGGCTGCTCGGCCGGCGTGTCGAGGGAGGCACTGCCGCCCTCCCGCCAGCCCGCCCTCCTCGCCCCCGCCGCCCCGCCGTCCCCGGGGAGCTGGGGAGGCCCCTCGGGCGCCGGGGGCACCGGGGGGATTTTGGCGAACTGGGGTTTGGGGGGGACGACGGGGACCGACCGGGCCTGCTGCACCCTGACGGTGCGGGCGGCCAGGCGCACCGGGGCACTGCCGTCGCGGCGCAGCACGGCCACGGGCTCGGGGTGCCCCGGCTCCCCGCGGGGATCGGCCCGGCTCGGCTCCGGGGTGTCGGGGAGAGCGCCGTGCAGCTCCGGGGCTGAGGCGGAGAGCGGGGGAGAACCGGGGCCGCTGCCAGGGTGGGCACCGGGCCCCTCTGCACTTGCCGCAGATGGCAGGAGAGCCTCGGGGACAACCTCGGGGACAGACCTGGGGACAACCTCGGGGACCACCCCAGGGACAACCTCGGGGTCAACCTTGGGGACAGCCCCAGTGACAACCTCGGGGACAGATTCGGGGACAGACCTGGGGACAACCTCGGGGTCAACCTCGGAGTCAACCCCGGGGTCAACCTTGGGGACAACCTCGGGGACAACCTCAGGGACAACCCCAGGGTCAACCTCGGGGACAACCTCGGGGTCAACCCCGGGGACAACCTCGGGGACAACCTCAGGGACAACCTCGGGGACAACCCCGGGGACAACCCCGGGGACAACCTCGGGGTCAACCTCGGGGTTAACCTCAGGGACAACCTCGGGGACAACCTCAGGGACAGACCTGGGGACAACCTCAGGGACAATCTCAGGGACAACCTCGGGGACAGGGGGCTCTGCTGGCTCCTGGGGGGCCTCCTCCGGTGAGGAGGCTGGTGGGGTCCCCGGTGAAGGCTGGGGTTCGCCCTCCCCAGGCCCCTCTGGGGCGAGGGGGCCGGAGCCAGCTCCATCCTCTTCACCTTCCCCCTCCGACAGGTCGGGAACCGGCCCCGCTCCCGCATGGCTCCCGGCTGCCCCGGCCTCGCTCCCCGGCCCGGCTGCGGCGCTGGAGTCAGTCCTGCCGGGGCCGGGGCTGCCGCCCACGGCCCCCTCCCCTCCACCCCCCTCTCCCGTGGGCTGCCCGGTGCCCGGCGCCCCCCGCTCTGCCGACGCCCCAGCGGGGTCCCCGGGGTGCTCCCCTTCCCCCGGAGCACCCTCCTCCGTGGGGCGCGGCTCTGCCGGCCCCGGCGTTGCAGACCTGTCCTGCGGCACGGTGGTGCCGGTGGGGGCCGGGGTCTCCGGGGCCGTACCCTCGCCCGGCGGCCGGCCGGGGGGCTCCAGCGCCGCCGCCAGCGGGCTGAGCTCGTCGTGGGCGCTGAGGAACATGTCGTCCGAGTCGGTGTCCCCGGCGTGGTCCTCGGCGTCAGAGCCGCCGGGAGCCATGTAGAACATCTCCTCGTCCATGCACTCCTCGATGGAGAGGTAGCTGGCGGGCTGCTCCGCGGGGGGCTCCCCCGGCTGGGGACGGGGACGGCCGGGAGGGTGACGGCCACGCTGGAGACCCCCCCAGCCCCACCCGGCCACGCAGCACTGCACAGCCCCAGGGCCCCACGCTGGGGCTGGAGGGGCTGATGGCACCCCGTCCCCTCCATCCCTGTCCCCTCCATCCCTGTCCCCTCCATCCTGTCCCCTCCATCCCTGTCCCCTCCATCCCTGTCCCCTCCATCCCTGCCCCTCCATCCCACCCCGTCCCCTCCATCCCCGTCCCCTCCATCCCCGTCCCCTCCATCCCACCCTGTCCCCTCCATCCCCGTCCCCTCCATCCCCGTCCCCTCCATCCCACCCTGTCCCCTCCATCCTACCCTGTCCCCTCCATCCCTGTCCCCTCCATCCCTGTCCCCTCCATCTCCATCCCTGTCCCCTCTATCCATACCTGGTCCCCTCCATCCCCATCCCCTCCATCCCCCTCCCCTCCTCATCTTGATCCCCATCCCTGTCCCCTCCATCCCACCCTGTCCCCTCCATCTCCATCCCTGTCCCCTCCATCTCCATCCCTGTCCCCTCCATCCCTGTCCCCTCCATCTCCATCCCTGTCCCCTCTATCCATACCTGGTCCCCTCCATCCCCATCCCCTCCATCCCCCTCCCCTCCTCATCTTGATCCCCATCCCTGTCCCCTCCATCCCACCCTGTCCCCTCCATCTCCATCCCTGTCCCCTCCATCTCCATCCCTGTCCCCTCCATCCCCGTCCCCTCCATCCCACCCTGTCCCCTCCATCCCACCCTGTCCCCTCCATCTCCATCCCTGTCCCTTCCAACCCCGTCCCCTCCATCTCCATCCCTGTCCCCTCTATCCATACCTGGTCCCCTCCATCCCTGTCCCCTCCATCTCCATCCCTGTCCCCTCCATCCCTGTCCCCTCCATCCCTGTCCCCGCCATCCCACCCTGTCCCCCCCATCCCCACCCGCATCCCCCTGTCCCCCCCCGACCAGGGACAGGGGGGGTGCCCCTCCTCCTGCCCCCAGCCCTCCCGCCCCGGGCGCCGCGCAGGGGGCCGGCGGTGGCAGCTTACGTTCATGAACCCGCTGTCCATCCCCTCCTCCACGGCCGGGAACCCCTCGCCGTCCCCCGGGCCGCCGGCTGGCAGCGGGGACCACCCCGCCGGCTCCCCGTCCCCGCCGCCCTCCAGCCACGTCTCGGGGCTGTCCAGGAAGGCGAAGGAGTCCCGCAGCTCCAGGGAGAGCCGCGTCTGCTCCGCGTCCGCCGTGCCCTGCCCTGCGGAGGGACCCGGGGGGCCCTGAGCCCGCCGGCACCCCGGGGGTCCCGCTGCCGGCAGCCGCCCCGCACCGGTGCGCTGCTGGGGCACCTCGGGGCCGGCGGCGGGCGGCGGGGGGCTGCCGGGCGGCTCCCTGCCCGGGGGCCCCTGGGCCAGCACTGGGCACGGCAGCCCCCGCGTCAGGCGGGAGAGGTTGGAGGTGATGTGGAAGGGGACGGTGACGGAGAAGGGGCCGGAGATGTGGACCCCCGCGCACTTCTCGGCACGGCTGCGGGCGGCCTTGGGCGAGCGGCCGGGGGCCACCAGCGAGGCCCGCCCGGCTTTGGGGGTGGTGGGCTCCGACTTGGTGCTGCTTTCGCCCTCCGACTCGGGGCCCCGCGGCTCCTCCCTCCCCCTCAGCTTCTCCTCCAGGCTCTCGTCCAGCTCGGGGCAGCTCTCGGGTGGCGAGGGGCAGGTGTCGAAGCTCTCCCGGCGCTGCGGCGGCTGCTTCACCGCCCGCTTCTTGTTCAGCTGAGGGTCGTCTGTGCCCAGCGGGGAGAAGAGACCCTGTCCCCCCATCCCTGTTCTGTCCCCCCATCCCCGCCCTGTCCCCCCCATCCCCGTCCTGTCCCCCCATCCCCGCCCTGTCCCCCCCATCCCCGTCCTGTCCCCCCCATCCCCGCCCTGTCCCCCCATCCCCGCCCTGTCCCCTCCATCCCCGCCCTGTCCCCCCATCCCCGCCCTGTCCCCCCATCCCCGTCCTGTCCCCCCATCCCCGCCCTGTCCCCTCCATCCCTGCCCTGTCCCCCCATCCCCATTCTGTCCCCCCATCCCCGTCCTGTCCCCCCCATCCCCGCCCTGTCCCCCCCATACCCGTCCTGTCCCCCCATCCCCGTCCTGTCTCCCCCATCCCCTCCCTGTCCCCTCCATCCCCATCCTGTGCCCCCATCCCCGCCCTGTCCCCCCCATCCCCGCCCTGTCCCCCCATCCCCATTCTGTCCCCCCCATCCCCGTCCTGTCCCCCCCATCCCCGCCCTGTCCCCCCCATCCCTGCCCTGTCCCCCCATCCCCGCCCTGTCCCCCCGATCCCCACCCTGTCCCCCCGATCCCCACCCTGTCCCCCCATCCCCGTCCTGTGCCCCCCATCCCCGCCCTGTCCCCCCATCCCCGTCCTGTGCCCCCCATCCCCACCCTGTCCCCCCCATCCCCGTCCTGTCCCCCCATCCCCGTCCTGTCCCCTGCCCTGTCCCCCATCCCCGCCCTGTCCCCCCCATCCGTGCCCTGTCCCCCCCATCCGTGCCCTGTCCCCCCCATCCCCGCCCTGTCCCCCCCCATCCCCGTCCTGTCCCCCCCATCCCCGCCCTGTCCCCCCATCCCTGTCCCCCCCCATCCCCGTCCCCCCCATCCCCACCGTGTCCCCTCCACACCCACCCCACCCCAGGGATCCCACCTCGGGGACGGGGACAGTTCCCGTGGGAGTGACACGGCGCCTCCCTCTTACCGTCACCGGCGAAGGGGACGGAGCTGAGCGAGTCCATGCTCTTGGCTGGCCGCAAGCTGATTTTACCGCACTTGTCATCTTGGGGGGAAGGAGGAGGGGAATGGCAGCGGGGTTGGGTTTGGGGACACGTCGTCCCCCCAGCGATGGGGTCCCTCCCCCTGGGCCCGGGGGGGGGACAACCGGGGCTCCCCACCTTTCTCCTCCGCCTTCACCAGCTTGCGCTTGGCCTCGTGGCTGGAGCGGCCCAGGTTGAAGATGGATCTCCACTTCTTTGCCTTGAGGGAGCCCTTCCTCCTGCGGGACCCCGGGCGTCAGGGGCGGGCACGCCTGCGCACGCCTGAACACGCCTGGGCACGCCTGGGCACGCCTGAACACGCCTGGGCACGCCTGCGCACGCCTGAACACGCCTGGGCACGCCTGAACATGCCTGGGCATGCCTGGGCACACCTGGGCACATGTGGGCACAGCTGGGCACACCAGCACACGCCTGGGCATGTGTGGGCACATCTGCATGTGCCTGGGCACGCCTGCACATGCCTGTGCACGCCTGGGCATGCTTGCACACACCTGGACATGCCTGGGCACGCCTGCACATGCCTGCGCACGCCACCTGGGCAGGCCTGCCTGTGTGCACGAGCACCGATGGGCGCGTGCAAGAGCTCGTGCACACCTGCAAGCACGCGTGTAGGAGAGCATGTGCCCACGCTTGTGCGTGTAGGAACATGCATGCGTGGGATCACCCGTGCATGGGGGTCGCGCGCGCGTGGGCTCACGTGTGCGTGGCACGCGCGTGCTCAGGGCGCTGCCCCCGCCGGGGTGGGGGTCCCGGGGGGGCGGCGGGTCCTACCTGTGGTCGCTGAGCTCGATGATGGTGTGGTAGGGCCGGATGGGGGGGGGCCCGTCGCCCTGGCTGAGCGTGGCCGGCACGTGGAACGGCGGGGGCTGCCCGGCCCCCGGCCCCCCCCCGCCCAGCAGCAGGGACCGCCGGGGGGGCTCGCTGCCTGCGGGGCACCGGGACGGGGCGTCAGGGTCCCGCCAGGGCCCCCCTCACCGTGTGTGTGTGTGTGTGTGTCCGTGTCCCCCCCAGGACGTACCGCGGAGCGGGGCGTCCCCGAAGAGCTGCTCGACGTGGGTGAGGATGAACTCCACCACGATGGACTGGACGCGCACCTCCATGAACGCCGCCGTGCCGTTGAACCCCGTCGCCTCGATGTCCTTTGACCTGCCGCCGGGACGCCGGGCCGGGGGGGGGGGGGCTCTTAGGGATGCTCGTCACCCCAGCCCCGTCCCCCCCCCCCCGCCCCGTCCCCCGCGCTCACCGCAGCAGGTTGGGCGCCCAGACGATGGCCAGGTTCCTGGCGTGCATGTTGGTCTGGCTGCTGTAGGACGCCATGAGCAGGAGGTGCCTCATCAGGAACTGCAGCGTCCTGCCGGCACCGGGGCGCGTTAGGGACAGCGATGCCCACGGGGGACACGCGTTTCGGGGTCCTTCCCCCCGAACCCCCCCCTACCTATAGTGGGGCGCCGGCAGCTCCTTCAGCACCTCCTTGATCTTCACCAGACGAGCCTCTTCCATCTGGATGGCCACCGCGTCCTGCCGGGGGGGACGGGGACGGGGTGACAAGTGCCACCTCCCGGGGTTGGGGCCGGGCGGCGGAGGCAGGGGACACTCACGGCAAATTTGTCGTAGAGCTGGTAGGTGAGGAGGGGGTTGGGGAGCTCGCGGAAGTACGCCTTGCAGAGCGAGCTGACGCAGTGGATGTCCTGCAGGTAGACGTCCTTCTGCAGGTCGGGGCAGCGGTCGCTGTCGAACTCCTGCCTGCGAGCGAGGCGGCCGGCTCGGCGGGGGGACGGGGACAGCGTGGTCCCCCTCCCCAGCCCCGCTCGGCTGGCCGAGCCGCGCTGGGTTTTCACTCGAGCGGGTTGGGATGTGTCCCCGGGGCGTCCCCGCGCCCGTGGAGGTGGGGCCCTGCTGCCCCGGGGGGGGCCTGGGGACACGCAAGAACCGTCGTGGTCCCAGGGGACCGGACGCGGTGGTGGTGGGCTGCAAATGGGGCAGGCCGGTCAGCCGAGTCCTTCCGCAGCACGGCCGGGATGGGGGGGACGGGGGGACAGGGGGGACAGGGGCATGGAGGGGACAGGGGGACACTGTGGATGTCAGGGACACGGGCACCAAGGATGCGGCGGGCACTGGGGATACGAGGATGCTGGAGTCAGGGGGATACTGGGGACACTGGGGATGTGGGGGAACGCTGGGGGTGTTGGGGACATTGAGGACACTGGCAGGGCTGGGGTTCCTGGGGACACAGGAGAAAGGGAGGAAAGAAACACTCGAGGAAAGAACCGAAAGAGCGTAAGAGTGAAAAAACCCAAACCAAATATGGACCGAATGAAAGAGAAAAGGAAAGAAAGAATAAACAAGAAACTAAACAGAAGAAAAAAGGCAGAGAAGGGACAAGTGAAAGTAGCAGGATGGTGCTGAGCGCGGGGAGTGGGCCGGGGCAGGAAGGGGCCGCGGGGCCCGATCCGGACAGCTCAGCACCAGGGTCGGCTCCTGCGCTGGCCACAGCCCAGGCCCCTCCTGGCCCGGTCGCCTGCCCGGCTGGTCCCACCCCCCGGCCCTGTCCCATCCCCCGGCCCTGTCCCATCCCCCTCTGCCCACTCCCCCCCCACCCCCGGCCCCTCCTGGGCGGTCCCAGCCCCGTCCCTCCGCTCTCCCACTGGGTCCTGTCTCATCCCACCCATCTCTGTCCAACCTCCGTCCCACCCGGTCCCGCCTCATCCCATCCCCATTTCCATCCTGTCTGGTCCCAGCTCCACCCTCTCCCCTGCCCCATCTCCACCCCCGCCCCATCTGCTCCCACCTCCATCCCATCCCCATCTGCCACCCGTCTCCTTCCCATTTTCCTCCTGTTTGATCCTGCCGGGTCTCCAGCTCCATCCTACCTCCCTCTGCCTCTCATCTCCATCCCACCTGCTCCAGTCTCCACCTCCATTGCCTCCACCTCCCTCCCATCCGCTCCGGCCTCCATCTCCATCCCCTCTCCATCTCCATCCCTCCATCTCCATCCCTCCATCTCCATCCCCTCTCCAATCTCCATCCCCTCTCCATCCCCTCTCCATCCCTCCATCTCCATCCCTCCTTCTCCATCCTGTCTCCATCCCAACTGCTCCACCTCCCTCCCATCCGCTCCGGCCTCCAGCTCCATCTCGCCTCCACCATCTCCATCCCATCTCCACCCCACCCGCTCCCGCTCCCACCCCCATCCCGCCCGCTCCATCATCCCTCCCCCGTCCCGTCTCCGGCCCCTCCCGGCCCCGCTCACCGCAGCCGCTGGATGTTGGAGGAGATGCCCGAGAGGCGGTAGATGCCATCCACCACCCCGTGCTGCTCCACGAACTCGGTGCAGCTCCTCAGCACCTGGGGCACTGCGGGACGGGCACCCCGGGTCCTCCATCACCCACCACCCCCGGCCCAGACCCGCTCCCCGCCAAGCGCTGGGATTGACGGGGGGCACTGGGGCCACCCACCCCCCCCGGTACCCAGTGGCGGTGTCCCCACGGAGCAGCCGGTTCCTGCACCGGCCACATCCGGGTCCCGGGGCCACCGAGTCCCCGAGGATGCGGCCACCCATCCCCGTCCCCTCGGGTCCGCAGTGGGACACTGAGATTGGAGCCGTGGCGGGGCGCTGGGACCCCCCCACCCCACCCCAAATCTCGGAAGGGCCTCTCCGGGAGGCACCCCGGCTGCGAAGCTTGCTCAACCGCCGGTGATGCAACCGCGTGGGGCGAGTCCTCCCCCGTCCCCTCCCCACGGCTCCGCCGGGCACCCACCGGCTTCCGACCCCCGTGGGCTGGGGGGGTGGGTGCTCGGCGGGACCCCGCGGGTGGGGGCACTCACCGTCCTGCCCCGTCTGCTGGAGATGCTCCAGGAGGTCGCAGCCGAACACCCGCTCCTTGGAGCCGCCCTTGCGCCTCACCTTCTGCCGGGCCTTCAGCGCCAGCGACATGGAGGCGGCGCGGACCCCCCCGGCGGCGGGGTCAGACCCTGCCCATGGCCCGAGCGGCAGCGGCGGGGGGCGGCGGGCGGAAGCGGCCCCCGGGGAGGAAGCGCGGCGGCCCCGGGGCCCTGACGCAGCCTCGAGGGCGCGGGGTGGGGGGGACGGGGGGGGATGGCAGGAAGGCGGCGGCCGCCTTCGAGGCCGCTTCCTGCTCCTCGGCGCGTCGAAACCGCAAGGCAGGGCGCGGGCGGCACGCTTGCGCACGCCCCGGTGCGCTTCCGCGCGCTCGTGCGAGCCGGGGCGCGCTCGTGCCAGCTCGGGCACGCGCTCCGGGCCGGGCACGGACACGCGCTGGGGCACGCGCGTGCAAGCTGGGGCCCGCCTGCACGAGTGCGGGCGCACGCTCCTGTGCGCTCGGGCACGCCCGTGCAAGCTTGGCCGTGCGCTGGGGTGTGCTCACGCCTGCTCAGGCACGCTCGTGCAAGCTCAGGCCTGCTTGCACAAGCTCGTGCACGCGCCGGGGCGTGCTTGTGCGAGCTTGTGATGGCTCGCACGTGCTCGCTCGGGGCTGTGCGCGCTCCAGCGTGCTCGGGCACGCTCGCACGCACTCGTGAGCGCGCTGGGGCGCACTCGTGCGAGCTTGTGATGGCCCGCGCGAGGTGGGGCACGCTTCCACGTGCACGCACGGAGCTCGCCCGCGCGGCACGCGGGTGCGGGGGTGGAGCGCCCAGGCGGGGCTGTCCTTGCACACGTGTGCACGAGTGCCAGCCCCCCCCCCCTGCCATGTCCCCACCTGTGTCCCCCCCCCAGGCTGAGATCAGACGCACTCGACGCAGGGTCCCAGGGTCCCGCGCGGGGGTTTATTTACAAGCGCGGCCGGGCAGCAGCGGGGGGGCCCCCGTCCTATACAGGTATGTACACACGGGGCACGTTGTCCCCAGGGACCCCCCCCTGCCAGCTCCGCACCTGGGGGGGTCCCCTCAGTAGTTTGAGGAGGGGGGGACAAGGGGGGTTTTGGGGGGTTTTCAGGGGCCATGGAGGGGAGGGGGGCAGCCGGGATGGGGGGGGGACACAAGCGTCCCAAGTGCCACCGGCAAACCGCGTCCCGAGCGGGGACAGCCACGCGCCCCCAGCGCCGCGCGGGAAGGAGCCGACCCGGAGTCCAAAGGGGTACTGGGGCGGCGGGGAGGGGGGCCCGATCCCCGTCGGGGGCTCCTGCCCCCGTCTTGTCCTTGAGGTGTCCCCACGTCCGTGGGTGTCCCCGCACCCATGGGTCCTGGGTGCTGCTGTCACCTCCGCTCTGGCTCGGCCACCGGCGAATGTCCCCAGCCTTGTGCCAGCCGCCGGGTGACGCTGGGGGACCGGAGCCCGTCCTGGGGCACAGCGCGCGTCCTTGACCCCGTGCCAGCAGCAGGGTGACCCTTGGGGACCGGAGCCAGCCGGGTGGGCGGGCAGAGCCAGGGGAGCGGCGGGGGGGGACGGGGGTCCCGTGGGTGTCCCCCCCAGCCCCGCCCGGCTCACACCAGGTGCCCGCGGCCGTTGATGTAGATGCCGTTGGTGGTGGGCTTGGCCTGCAGCATCCCGTTCTCCTGCACGAAGTGGGTCATGGCCTGCTTGATGGGGTCGTCCCCCCCGCCGCCGCCATCCTCCTCCTCCTCCTTCGGCTCCTTCCCCGCCAGCGCGGGCAGCAGCGGCACCGCCGGCACCTCCGTCTGCGTCTCGATCTCCCGCACCGTCGAGAGCGTCGAGTAGCTGCGACCTTCGGGCTCCTCGCTCTGGGGGGACAAGGCGGGGGTCACCACTGACGAATTAACACCCCCAGGGACCTGGCCCCTGCCCCCGGGGACCCCCCCGGGGATGGGGTGCTGCCGTGGGGCACAAGGACTCAGCACGTGGGCGTCCAAAGGTGTGTGTGAGTGTGGGAGGGCTTTGCACACCCAGAAGGGGTTTGAATGCCCCGAGGAGGGGGTTGCACACCCAGAAAGGGGGGTTGCATGTGTGCAAGGGGTTTGGGCACCCCCAGGGGGGTTTGCACCAAAAAAGGGGGTTGCACATGTAGAAGAATGGGGGGGGGGGGTTGCACACCCAGAAGGGGTTTGAACGCCCTGAGGAGGGGGTTGCCCCCCGGGAAGGGAGTTGCACACCCAGAAGGAGGGGTTGCACCCACACAGGAGCGTGCCAGAGGAGGAGGAGACGCTGCGGCAGCCGCAGCCCTGGGCCTGGCGCGGGTGTGTGGGGCTGAGCTGGGCCCCCCCGGCCCCCCCGCCGTGCCCCTCACCATGGCAGAGCAGATGCTGGTGCCGCGCAGGCTGTCCCCACGCAGGCTGTCCCCGCGCAGGCTGTCCCCGCGCAGGCTGCCTTGCCGGCTCTCCGCACGCAGCTGCAGCGTCTCCTCCAGCTGAAACAGCCCCGTGAGACCCAGCACCCCACGGCCCAGCACCCCACGGCCCGGCCCCCAGGTACCCCCCACCCAGCGCCCTCTGCTCCCCACAGCCTGGATCCTTTGGGCACCCTGATACCTGCCCCCCACACACACACTGCCCAGCCCCGTGGGCACCCTGCTCCCCAGCCCTCCTTCAACACCCCCATACCCAGCACCCCAGGTACCCCGATACCCTGGGTACCCCACCACCCACCACCCCGGTCACCGCAGTGCCCGTCCCTCCGGGAACTCCAAGACCCACTTCCTTGGGTAGCCCAACATCCGCCACCCCACACACCCCAATACCCAACACCTAGGCAACCTCAAGACCCGCTTCCTTGGGTACCCCAATACCCATCACCCTGGGCACCCCGCCACCCAGCCCCCAGGGTACCCCAAGACTCACTTCCTTGGGTGACCCAACAACCGTCACCTTGAGCACCTCAAGATCCACTTCCCCGGTTACTCCACCGCCCATGGCGCCCCAATACCCACCACCCATGGCACCCCAATACCCACCACCCATGGCACCCCAATACCCACCGCCCATGGCACCCCAACACCCACCGCCCATGGCACCCCAAGACCCCCCGCCCCCCACCTGGGTGCGCGTGTCGGTGCTGTGGCTGGAGTGCAGCCGGCGGATGGAGTTCTCCCGGGTGAGCGTCAGCTCCTCCTCGCTGGGGACACGGGGGGCCACGCTCAGCACGGGCCCCCCGCAGCGCCCCCTGCCCCCCCCACCCCGCCCGCAGCGCCCCCTGCCCCCCCGCCCCCCTCCCCGCCTCTTACTACTTCTCGGAGATGCGCTTGGTTTTGCGCTTGTGGTAGAGGGTCATGACGACGACGACGATGACGAGGACGCAGAGCAGGACGGTGGCGATGACGCCCACCACCACCACCGAGGCCGAGACCAGGTCCACCTTGCGCACCTCGTTGTCTGCGGGGACACCCGGGGGGGGGGGGGGGGGGAACGACACACAGATGAGCACGTGGACGAGCGAGTGGGTGGATGCGCGGATACGTGGGTGGGTGGATGAGTACACCCACCCGGCTGGACTCGATGACCTTAAAGATCTTTTCCAACCGAAATGGACTCTGTGACCCATGGACAGAGGGAGGGGTGGATGGATGGACGGACAGATCATACAGCCATGGACAGAGGGGCGGAGGAGCCCACGGGTGGATGGGTTGGTGGACGGACAGACGAGTATGCGGGTGGATGGGTGGAGAGATGGATGGACAGACGGATGAGCAGACGGATGGATAGGTAGCCGGATGGATGAGTAACTGGATGAGTAGGGAGCTGAGTAGACGGGTGGGTGGGCGAAGGGACAGATGCGTGTAGGGGTGGGCACGGGGGTGGGTGGACAAACGGATAGCGAGAGGTGAAAGGGGGATGGATGGACAGATGGACGGACAAACGGGTGGATGGGCAAAGAAATGGAGGGAGAGAGAGGTGGGTGGATGGAGTGAAGCGGTGGGGGCGGCTGGATGGTGCACGGATGGACGGACAGACAAAAGGACAGATGGACAGGCAGACAGGGGGGTGAAGAGAGAGGAGCATCTGGGGAAGGGCCCGTGAAGGGGTGGGTGTAGGAAGAGCCGGGGGTGAGGGGGCACGACCCACGGGCGGACAGACTGACGGGTGCCTGGGAAGGGTCGGGCCGATAGAGAAGAGCCCCGGGAGGGACAGACGGACGGGCGCCCGCAGCACGGACCGGCGCTGCCCTCCCACCGCCCACCCGGGACCCCCCCCCCCTCCCCGGCACCCTCGGGGGCCGCACGCACAGCCGGGTGCCGCGGGGCCCCCCACCTGCCGCCCGGCCCTTGATGCTGACGTTGGCCCGCGCCTCCTTGGCGGCCACGCGGTTGGAGACGCGGCAGACGTAATCCCCGGCGTCGGCGGCGGCGAGGGGCCGCTGGAAGACGAGGGTGTCCCCCTTCACCCGCACGCCGGCGGGCAGCGGGGCGTTCAGCCTGCGGCGCGGCGGCACCGTCAGCCCCCGGCGTGCCCGGGCGGGCGCCGGCGCCGCCATCAAAGCCGGGGCTGCCGGTTCCCACGGTTGACGCCCTGCCCCGGCCCCGGCGGGACGTGCCCGGGCACGGCAGCGCCCGCCACGCGCGCCGCCACGGCCCTCGGCACCGGCACGCCCGGGACGGGACACGGCGGGGGGACGGCGGGGACACGGGCGAGGGGACACGGGGATGTGACGGGGGCAGGGGGACGGTCATGGGGGACATGGCAGGGACACGGGCAGGGGGGACATGGGGACAGGGGACACGGCAGGGATGTGGGCACGGGTGGGGGGACACGGAGACAGCAGGGACAGGGGACACGGCAGGGATGTGGGCACGGGTGGGAGGACACGGGACATGGCAGGGATGTGGGCACGGGTGGGGGGACACGGGCAGGGGGACACAGGGACAGCAGGGACAGGGGACATAGCAGGGATGTGGGCACGGGTGGGGGGACATGGGGACAGGGGACACGGCAGGGATGTGGGCACGGGTGGGGGGACACGGGCAGGGGGACGTGGCAAGGGCAGGGACACAAGGGACAGGGCAGGGACATGCGCTGTGGCCGGGGACATGGCGGTGCTCGGGTCACCTGGCAGGGACACAGACAGGAGCAGGGGACACGAGCGCAGGCTCGGGGAGGGGGGGGGGGTGTCAGTGTCCTCACCGTGTCCAGTTGTAGGTGGGGGGGGGGTTGCCGTCCCCCAGGCAGGTCAGCACCGCCCCCTCCATCCCCTCCTGCCACTCCTCCGTGTGCCCCAGCACCGAGGCGTCCGACAGGTCTGGGGACAAAGGTGCCGTGAGGGGACACGCAAGGATGCTCCCCAGTGTCCCCCCCGTCCCTGCTGTGCCCCCATGTCGCCAGTGTCCCCCCACATCCCCAGTGTCCCCCACTCTTGCTGTGCCCCCACGTCCCCAGCGTTCTCCATGTCCCCCAAGTCCCTCAATGTCCTCAAGTCCCTCCACATCCCCTGATGTCCCCCACGTCCTCCACTCTCCATGCCCCCAATGCCCCCCAATACTCTCCCTGTCCCCAATGACCCCCATGTCCCCAATGTCCCCCAATACTCTCCCCGTCTCGATGCCCCCAATGCCCCCCAATACTCTCCATGTCCCCAATACTCCCCACGTCCCCAATGACCCCCATGTCCCCAATGACCCCCAATACTCTGCATGTCCCCAATGCCCCCCACGCTCTCCACGCCCCCAATGACCCCCATGTCCCCAATGTCCCCCAATACTCTCCCTGTCTCGATGCCCCCCATGTCCCCAACGCCCCCCAATACTCTGCATGTCCCCAATGCCCCCCACGCTCTCCACGCCCCCAGTGACCCCCATGTCCCCAATGCCCCCCACGTCCTCCAATCCTCCCCGCACCCCCCGATGCCTTCCGCGCCCCCCCCCGCCCATCCCGCCCCCGGTGCCCCCCGCCCCGGTGCCGCACAGGCGACGCTGAGGAGGTGGGTGATCCTCTTCTCGTGGCGCAGGCCGGGGTGGGCCACCACGCAGGTCAGGCTCTTGCCGTTCATGCTGCGCCCGGGCACCAGGAAGAACTCGCTGGTGACGGAGGCGGAGCGGGCGTGCGCCGAGCGGCGCGTGGCGTTGGTGCCCCGCACCTCCGTCTCCCAGCGCACCGAGGGCACGGGGCTGCCCTCCGCCGTGCACGAGGCCGCCAGCGTCCGGCCCTGGCCCTCCTCCAGCGGCGGCCCCGGGTTCAGGATGGGCAGCGGCGGCACTGCGGGCGGCACCGGCGTGTCACCCCCGACCCGCCGGCACCCGGGGGTGCTGACCCCGCCGCGCCGGTCACCCCCGACCCGCCGGCCCCAGCGCGACGCTCTGGGTGCCCACAGCCGCCACCCCATCGCCCCGTGCCCACTGCCCCACGCCCACCACAACTTGCCCACTGCCGGGCCTACTGCTCCGTGCCCACCACCCCATCCTCATCACCTGCTGCCCACCGCCCCGTGCCCATTACCCACCACCCCGTGCCCCCCACTCACCACCCCCTCCTCATCACTTGGTACCCACCACCCGTCACCCCGTGCTCATCTCCCCATGCCCCTTGCCCACCACCCACTGCCCCACCTTCGTCACCTGGCGCCCACCACCCCATCCTCACTGCCCCATCCTCATCACCCTGAGCCCACCACCCATCGCCCCATGCTCATTGCCCGCCGCCCTGTGCCCTCCACCCCAACCTCGCCCATCACCCCATCTTCATCACCCATGCCCACCCACCGCCCCATCCTCATCACTTGGTACCCACCACCCGTCACCCCGTGCTCATCTCCCCACGCCCACCACCCCGTCCTCATCACCCCGCGCCCACCACCCACCACCTCATCCCCACCGCCCCATCCTCATCACTTGGCAGCCAACACCCTGTGCTCATCACCCCCTGCTCATCTCCCCACGCCCACCACCCCACCGCCCCACCCTCACCACCCATGCCCACCACCTCAACCTCATCTCCCCACGCCCAGCACCCCGTCCTCATCACTTGGTACCCACCTGCCCCTGCTCATCTCCCCACGCCCACCACCCCACGCCCACTGCCCCATCCTCACCACCCATGCCCACCTCCTTACGCCCCGTGTCCACCACCCACCACCCCCATCCCCACTGCCCCCTCCTCATCACTTGGTACCCGTCACCCCGTGACATCTCCCACCCCACGCCCACCATCCCGTCCTCATCACCCCGCGCCCCCCACCCCCCACCCCCTCCTCATCACTTGGTACCCACCACCCGTCGCCCCGCGCCCCCCGCCCGGGCACTCACCCAGCACCTTGAGGGTGAGGCGCCCCTCGAAGCTGCCCAGGGGGAAGGTGATGAGGTGACACTCGTAGTCGCCCTCGTCCCCCTGCACGGCGTTGCGCAGGACGATGGCTCCGTCCTCCAGCGCGCCGCCCGCCCGCCGCAGCACGCGCCCGGCGTAGGGCTCCTGCACGTGCTCCCCGTGCTGCCGGTTGAGCACGGCCACCTCGGCGCTGCCGCCGCCGGGGCCGCGCTTCAGCCACGTCACCTGCACCACCTGCTCCTGCTCCTGCGCCCGGTACCGGCACGGCAGCACCACGTCCTGGCCCAGCACCGCCGTCACGCTGCGCTCCACCTCCACCACGCCTGCGCCGCAGCCTGCGGGACACACGCGTCGGCACGGCACGGCATGGCACGCGTCGGCACAGCACGCATTGGCACAGCATGGCACGCATCGGCACGGCACGCATCGGCACGGCACGGCATGGCACGCTTCGGCACGGCACGCATTGGCACGGCATGGCACGCGTCGGCACAGCACGCATTGGCACAGCATGGCATGCGTCGGCACGGCACGCATCGGCACGGCACGCGTCAGCTCGGCACGGCACGGCATGGCACGCTTCGGCACGGCACGCATCGGCACAGCACGCTTCGGCACGGCACGCATTGGCACAGCATGGCACGCATCGGCACAGCACGCATCGGCACGGCACGCATCAGCTCGGCACGGCATGGCATGGCACGCTTCGGCACGGCACGCATCGGCACGGCACGGCACGCGTCGGCTCGGCACGGCATGGCACGCTTCGGCACGGCACGCATTGGCACGGCATGGCACGCGTCAGCACAGCATGGCACGCGTCGGCACGGCACGCGTCGGCACGGCACGGCACAGCATGGCATGGCACGGCACACGTCGGCACGGCACGGCACAGCATGGCATGGCACGGCACACGTCGGCACGGCACGGCACGCTTTGGCACAGCATGGCATGCATTGGCACAGCATGGCACGCTTCGGCACAGCACGGCATGCTTTGGCACAGCACGCTTCAGCACACTTCGGCACAGCACGGCACGCTTCGGCACGGCACGACACGCTTCACCATGCTGGCGCCCACACGCACACTTGGGCACACTTGCGCACACTATGGCATACTCTGGCTTGTGCTTGCACACCCCCGGGCTGGTGCCCACCTTCACGCCTGGGCACACTTGGGCACGCACTTACCCATGGTGGTGCCCGCTTGCACGTGCTTGTGCACGCTCTGGCACACTTTGGCATGCACACACCCCTGCTGGCACTCGCGTGCATGCTTGGGCATGCTTGCACGCACTTGTGCACACTTGGGTGTGCACACCCCCGTGCTGGTTCTCGCATACATGCTTGGGCACACTTGCACACACTCCAGCACGCTTGGGCATGCTGGCACTCACATACATGCAAGAACACTGGTACATGCTTGTGCATGCTTGCACGTGCTCTCGCATGCTTAGGCACGCACACACCCATGCTGGTGCTCACATACATGCTTGGGCACACTTGCACATGCTCCAGCACACTCTGGCACACTTGTGCTTGCACACACATCCATGTAAGAACACTTGCACACGCTTGCACACTTGTACACACTTGGGCTTGCACTCACATACATGTAAGAACACTTGGGCACGCTTGCACACACTGGCACACTCGGATGTGCTTGTGCTTGCACACATTCATGTGCTTCTTCAGGCACACTCACATAAGCTTGGGCACACTTGTGCTTGCACACTCCCATGTCTGCTTGGGCACACTCACATACAGGCACACTTGTGCTTGCACACATCTGTGCTGGCAATCACATACATGCAAGAGCACTTGGCCACGCTTGCACATGCTCGGGCACACTTGTGCTTGCACACATCCACACATTTCTTCGGGCACACTCACGTATACCTGGGCACACTTGGGCACGCTTGCACACACTTGGGTGCAGTCACATACATGCAGGCACGCTTGGGCACGCTCCAGCACACCTGAACACACTTGTGCTCACACACGTCTGTACAATCCTTCAGGTGCACTCACATACACTCGGGCACACTTGCGTGTACCTGGGTGCGCTTGTGCACACTTGTGCTTGCACACACTCAGGCAATTCTTGGGTGCACGCACACACATGCAGGCACCCTTGGGCACACTTGTGCTTGCACACACACACACACACACACGTGTTTCTTTGGGCACACTCACATATACTTGGGCGCACTTGCTGATGCCTGTGCTTGCACACACATGTGCTTACGTGTGCTCACATGCACCCAGGAACACTTGGGCACAGTTGCACACTCTCAGGTGTGCTTGTGCACATTCATCCATACTTGTGCTCACAAGCCCTCACACGTCCTCAGGTGCTCTCACGATCGCTTGGATGTATCTGCACACGCTCACACACATTTGTGAGGGCTTGAGCACGGGTGGGCACACTCACATGTTCCGTGGTGCACTCGCGCACGCCCAGGCACACTCGGGCACGGCTGCACACGCAGGCCTGCTTGAACACACTCATATGTGCTCACACTCAAGAGTACTCCGGCAAGCTCTTGCACGCTCACGCGTGCTCAGATGCGCTCACACACGCTTCAGCACACTCATGCATCTTCGCGTGTGTGTGTGGACGTGCTCAGGCGTGGATGGGCATGATCGTGCACACTTGGACACGATCATGCTTGCGCACACTCAGGCACACTTGGGCACACTCACACATGCGCGTGCGTGTTCAGGCATGCTCGCACATGCACAGGCACGCTCATGCACGCTTGGGCACACTCCAGCACGCTTAAGCACGCTTGGGCACCCCTAGACACACTCACGTGTGTTTGGACAGTCTCACACATACCCGTGCACACTCATGCGTGCTTGGACAGTCTCACACACGCTCATGCACACCCAGGCACACTTGCACACCCTTGGACACACTCGTGCGCCCTCCTGCGCGCTCGTGCACGCTCACATGCGCTCGGGCACCCCTGTGCCGGCCCAGCCACGCTCACAAGCTCCCCGGGGACGCCGGTACCCGCGCGCTCGGGCACACTCGGGCCCGCTTGCACGCTCGCTGCCACGGGCGCGCGTGCGAGGCCGGCGGGTGTCGGGGCGTGGCGTGGGCCCGCCCAGCCGCTCGGCGACGCCGGGGGAAGCGGCCGGGCCGGCGTGGCCAGCCCGACCGGCCGGCGTGCATGCCGGGCTCTGCCGGGGCTTGCGGAGGGCTCCCGCCCCCGCCGGCCCCGGGGCCTCCCCGCCGAGCCCCCCGCCACCTCGCTGCCGTGCCCGGCCTAATTACCACCCCCCCACCCCCCCCCCCCTCGATTAGTCGCCGGACTAATTAAATAATTGCGGCGCTGGCCAGGCCGTGAGTCACGGCCGCGCTGCCCCTGCGGGCCCCGGCCCTGCCTCAGTTTCCCCTCGCGTGGTGCTGGGGGTCCCGGCGGGGCTGGGGTGGCGGGTGCCGGGGTGCCGAGGGGGGGGCTGGCAGGCGGCCCCCGCCGCGGGGCGTCCCCACCCAACGGGGCCAAGCGCGTGGGAACGGAGCCGGGAACCGGCTCAACCGGCTCCCGCGGCCCCCACGCCCCGGCCGGGCTCGCGCCCGCGGGATGCGGGACCGGGAAATGGGGGGACCGGGGTGTGGGGGGGGGACACACAGACACACGGACTGGGGGGGGGTGGTCAGACCCGGGGGGTGCACCCACAGCCCGCACCTTCACGCGTCACCCCTCGGCGTGTGCAGCGGGGCCGTGTGCCCGCACATGCGTGTGCGTGCTTGTGCTCTTCGGGGACACACACATGTGTGCAGCCGCCCCCCCCCCCCCGACGCCGGGGACACCCCCCCCGCCCCCCCAAAGCAACCACACACGCGTGTGCACACACACATCCCCCTGGGGGGGCTGCAGGCCTGACACCGGGTGATGGGCTCAGTGCCCCTGGCTGGGGGGGGGCACGGCCGGGCTGCCCCCCACTCGCCCCACGAACCCCCCGGGGCTGTGAGTCACGGGGGGGTCAGCACCCTTGGGGTGACGTCACACCCCATAGCGCCCAGCCCGTTCCCACGGGTCCTCCAACAGCGGGGAAACTGAGGCACGGCGCGGGGGGGCAGGGCACTGACACTCCCCCCGCGGGGACCCCCCCAAGCTTTGGGGAGACAATGGGGAGGGGGCGGGGACCCCCCCCGGGTAGCCCGGTGCCCCCCGCCGCGTGTCCCCAGTGGGGCGTGCCCGGTTCCCACGGTGTGTCCCCCCGTGTCCACAGGAGCCCCGTTCCCGGGGGACACACACACGCACACGCGGACGCGCAGGTGCGCGCACACGCGTGTGCAAACCCCGGCACGGCGCGCACACGCACAGCCCAACCCTGCCCGGGCACACGAACACGAACACGGACACGGACACAAGCGCCCGCAGGTGCGCGGGGCCACAGGTGCACACGCGAGCGCACACACGTACACACACACACGCGTGTACATGCACACACCCACCGTGTGCACACGCGTGTGCACCCCACTCCTCGCGGGCCCTGCCCCAGCGCCCGCCCCCGGGGCTCGATTCCCCCCGCACCGGGGCTGCCGGTGCCCCCGGTCCCGGGTCCCCACCCGTGGGTGCCGGTACCCCCGGGTCCCCCGTCGCGGGGACGGTGCCCCCCCCGGTCCCCACCCGTGGGTGCCGGTGCCTTCGGTCCCCGTTCCTCACCCGTGGGACCAGTACCCCCGGTCCCTGTTCCCCACCCGTGGGTGCCGGTGCCTCCGGTCGCCCCGTCGCGAGGCCGGTGCCCCCCCCCCCCGGCTCCCGCCCCCAGCCCCTCTCGCAGCCCCGAACAGCCGCTGCCCCCGGTCCCGGTTCCCCTCCCGGGGGTCCCGCCCCCCCCGACCCCCGGTGCCGGTCGTGCCTTACCGGTAGCGGCGAGGAGGAGGAGGAGGAGGAGGAAGGGCGTCCCGGGCCGCATCCCGCGGGGGGCCATGCGGACACCTGCGGGCTCAGGGCGCTGCTCGGCCCCCGGCCAGCACCATCCGGGCCGAACCGGGCGGGACCGGGACGCACCGGGCGGGACCGGGACGCGCCGCGCCGGGCCGAACCGGGACGCGCCGGGCCGAACCGGGACGCGCCGGGCGGGACCGGGACGCGCCGGGCCGAACCGGGCGGGACCGGGACGCGCCGGGCCGAACCGGGCGGCTCCGGGCCGATGGCGGCGGAGGGGCCGGTGCTGCGCCGCTCCGAGCCGGGACGGGACGGGGGGGGGGGGGGCGGGGGGCGGGAGCAGCGCCGGGCGGGGCCTGAGGGGGCGGGGCCTGAGGGGGTGGGGCCGGCAGGGCGAGGCCGGGCGGGGCGGACCGGTCTGGCAGGTAGGGGCAGGGGCGGGGCCGAGGGCGAGGCCTTAAAGGGGCGATGGTCGCCGACGGGGCGCGGTGGGGCCCACCCGGCACCTCCTTCGCCGCGGCAGCTCCCGCGGGGGTCCTGGTGACACCTCGAGCCCCGCCCCGGACCTCCGGGGTCCCCCGTGGGTGCTCCCCAGTGACACCCTCGTGCTCTTCCCAGTGACTCTCATGTCCCTCCCAGTCCATTCCCCCTCCCCCGCGGTCTCCCATTAACCTCCATGTCCCTCCCAGTCCCCCCCACTCCAGCCCCCCCTGCTCCCCCCAGGGTGAGACCCCACAAACGTCCCTGTTTCTGTGCAAACCCCGGGACAGAGGAAGGGGGAGGGCTGTGGGCTGGCACTGACATCCCCTCCCTCCAAATCTGGGGTCCCCAAATCCCACCGGACACCACAGTGCAGCCCGCGGGGTGGGGGGGGGGGACGGACACGGCAGTTTATTGGCACAGCAAGAATCGGGGGCGGGGGCAAAACAAGGGTGGGGGTGATGGGGTGGGAGAGCAGGGGGAGCTCAGCCCTGCAGAGCCCGGGCACAACTCAGCACAGCAGTGACCTGCACCCCGGGGTGCCCCCACCCGACTCCTGTGGGGAGGAGGGGGGGACCAAGGGTGGGAGCAGGGGCACCCCCCGAGGCCGCTCAGGTACCCGCCACTTCGGAGCTCTCCGGAGACGGGTCCTTGGCGGCGGCACAGAGGTGGAAAAGCCCTGGGGGGAGAGAGGAGGCCATGGGGTGCCCTCAGCATGTGTCTGGGCACAGCTCAGCTCTGCAGAGACTGGGCACAGCTCAGCGCAGCAGTGACCAGGCCCCACGGGCGCCGCTACCTGCCGAGCTGGTGAGGACGACAGCGACCCAGCCCAGGATGTAGGACCAGGAGAAGCGCCAGGCGGTGCCCGCCGGCCCCAGGAGGCTCAGCGTGCCGGCCCCGTACACCGCCAGCCCCAGCAGCGCCAGCAGCCCTGTGGGCAGAGGGGACCGGTCAGCGGCACCAGCCGGGCAGGCAGAGACCAGGCACAGCTCAGCACAGCAGTGACCGGGCACAGCTCAGCGCAGCAGAGACGGGGCACAGCCCAGCCCTGCAGAGACCGGGCACAGCTCAGCACAGCAGTGACCAGGCACAGCTCAGCACAGCAGTGACTGGGCACAGCTCAGCCCGGCAGAGACCGGGCACAGCTCAGCACAGCAGTGACTGGGCACAGCTCAGCACAGCAGAGACCGGGCACAGCTCAGCACAGCAGTGACTGGGCACAGCTCAGCCCGGCAGAGATGGGGCACAGCCCAGCCCTGCAGAGACCGGGCACAGCTCAGCGCAGCAGTGACTGGGCACAGCTCAGCCTGGCAGAGACCGGGCACAGCTCAGCACAGCAGTGACTGGGCACAGCTCAGCCCAGCAGAGACCGGGCACAGCTCAGCCCGGCAGTGACCGGGCACAGCTCAGCACAGCAGTGACTGGGCACAGCTCAGCACAGCAGAGACCGGGCACAGCTCAGCGCAGCAGTGACTCTCAGGGGACAGTCCCTGAGGCCCGGGTGCCTCGTCCCGCCCGTCCCCACGTACCAGCCAGGAGCAGGGTGACTCCGGCCACGCGGGCACGCGCCCGCCGGGCAGCGCTGGCCGCGACAGAGAACCCCAGGGCGAGGCCGGCGGCGGCGGTGAACACCGAGAGCAGCATCAGCACCCGCGTGGCCTCCCATAAGGCTGGGGGGGGGGGGCCACACACAGGTTTGGGGGACACTTGGGGGACACAGGGCCCCGGGCGGGTGTACGCCCAGGACACTGTCCCCACACCCTGCCCGCAGAGACCAGGCACAGCTCAGCACAGCGATGTCCCCCTCCCCACGTCCCCCCCCCGGCAGAGGCCAGGCACAACTCAGCACAGCAGTGCCCCCCCCATCCCCATGCCCCCTGCAGAGACTGGGTGCAGCTCAGCACAGCAATGCCCCCCCACTCCACCCCCCCTGCAAAGACCAGGCACAACTCAGCACAGCAATGCCCCCCCCATCCCCACCCCCCCCGCAGAGACCAGGCACAGCTCAGCGCAGCGATGTCCCCCCCACCCCACCCCCCACAGAAGTTGGACACAACTCAGGGCAGCGATGTCCCCCAATTCCTGCTCCTCTCCCCCCTCCCCGGCAGAGGCCAGGCACAACTCAGCACAGCAATGGGCCCCTCCATCCCCACCCCCCCCGCAGAGACCAGGCACAGCTCAGTGCAGTGATGTCCCCCTCCCCACATCCCCCCCCACAGAGACCAGGCACAACTCAGCACAGCAATGGCCCCCCCATCCCCACCCCCCCCCGCAGAGACCAGGCACAGCTCAGCACAGCAATTCCCCCCCCCCCCCCCGCAGAGGCCGGGCGCAGCTCACGTCCCGGGTGCCTACCTGGGGTGCTGGGGTGGGGGTGGCAGTGTCCCCCGAGGCAGCCGCGCCACAGCCCCAGGCTGGCGCTGGCCCCGCTGCCCCCCGCCCCCCCGCGCTGCACCCAGAAGTCGGTGGCGGCAGCGGCCAGGAGCAGCCCCAGGCCAGTGGCCCCGCAGAGCAGCCCCCCGCCTGCCGGCATGGCCCTGCGGGGGGGGGACAGCCTTGGGGACAGCGGGGGACATGGGGGGCCGGGGGGGTGGCAGGGGACAACTTGGGGACGTGTGCTGGACATGGGGGGACCCCGGCGGGCACCTCCCAGGGATGCGGGGGACACCCCTGGGGACATGGGGGGACATGGGGGGGTGGCGGCAGGGGATTCAGGGGACACCCATGGGGACATCTCTGGGGCATATTGGGGGGCCCGGGGGTGGCATCTCTCAGGGACGTGGGGGACAAACTTGGGGACATCTCTGGGGGACATGGGGGGCCCGGGGGCGCAGGGGGCACCCATGGGGACAATGAGGGACACGGGGGGGCCTAGAGGGGCAGTGACAGGGCACTTGGGGGACAGCCATGGGGACACCTCTGAGGGACAGGGGGGGCCCGGGGGTGGCATTTCGCAGGGACGCAGGGGACAATTTTGGGGACATCTCTGGGGGACACGGGGGGGCTCTGGGGGGGCATCTCCCGGGGACACACTTGGGGATATTGGGGGAGATGGGGGGTGGCATCTCCTGGGGATGCAGGGGACACCCTTGGGGACATGGGGGGGACATGGGGGGTGGCATCTCCAGGGGTCCCCCACGGGGACATCTGCAGGGGCTGTCAGTGGAAGCTAATGAAAAGGACATGGGGGGTACCCGGGGGCGGCACCTCGGGGGACACTGGGGCACGCAGGGGACACCGCAGGGGACCCAGGGGTGGGGATGCTGGGGACAGACCCCCTCCCCCCGGGCACCCACCCCCCGCCACTCACCCGCCCTCAGCACCCGCCAGCTGGGTGCCCCATGGCCGCCTGTCCCTCTGTCCCTCTGTCCCGCGGGGGGGGGCCGGGACCCGGGCGCACGTGCCACTGCCATTGTTGGGGACACAATGCGGGGAAGGCTCTGGGTGCTGACACGGCAAAAGCTCCTCCCGGCCGGTGTCCCCTGGGGTGGCACCGGGGGACACACAGAGGGGACACAGCGGGGGCTGTCACCGCGGGCAGGATGCGTCCCCGGGGTGCTGGGGGCCCCGCACCGGGGAAACGGGGGGCAGGGACACCGGGGACACTGGGGACACTGGGGACACAGGTCCGGGGTGGGCTGGGAGCCCCGGGGGATCCAAGGAGATGCTGGGGGGGGGTGTGGGGGGGTGTTGTCCCCTGGTGCCACCCCCCGGGGACACACAAGACATGTGCTGCACACGCGTGTGCACCTGGCAGGCAGGCACGCACAACCCCGGTCACGTGCTGTCATGTGTGCACCCCACCCCCCCCGCCTGTGCACACCCACGTGTGTACACCTGCATGCGCACCCCCCACACACACGCGTGCACACACCCCCACACGCACACAGCCCTTGCACACACACACTCCCGTGCACCCTCGCACATGCACGCACACACGTGCACACTCACACGTGTGCACACACACACACACACACGTGTGCATGGGCACACCCACACCCCCTGTGCGCCCTTGCACACACACGTGCACTCACACACGCGTGCACTCACACGGGTGCTCACACTCACACGCGTGCCCGCGCACACCCACGTGCGCCCCGGGTCACAGCCCGCGGGCCGGCAGCAGCAGCAGCAGCAGGAGGAGGAGGAGGAGGAGGAGGAGGAGGAGGCCGAGGCCGAAGGTCCTGCAGGGGGGGGCCCCGGAGCAGGGGGGGCTGCAGGGGGCACCTGGGGGGGGGAGGGAAACCTCCTCAGGGTCTGCCCCCCGCCCCGACGCCAGGGTGAGGGGCTCCCAGTGACCCCCCCCCGGCCCCGACGCCAGGGTGAGGGGCTCCCGGTGACCCCCCCAGACCCGACGCCAGGGTGAGGGGCTCCCGGTGACCCCCCCAGCCCCGACGCCAGGGTGAGGGGCTCCCGGTGACCCCCCCCCAGCCCCGACGCCAGGGTGAGGGGCTCCCGGTGACCCCCCCAGCCCCGACGCCAGGGTGAGGGGCTCCCGGTGACCCCCCCCCCCAGCCCCGACGCCAGGGTGAGGGGCTCCCACTGACCCCCCCCAGCCCCGACGCCAGGGTGAGGGGCTCCCGGTGACCCCCCCAGCCCCGACGCCAGGGTGAGGGGCTCCCGGTGACCCCCCCCAGCCCCGACGCCAGGGTGAGGGGCTCCCGGTGACCCCCCCCCAGCCCCGACGCCAGGGTGAGGGGCTCCCGGTGACCCCCCCAGCCCCGACGCCAGGGTGAGGGGCTCCCGGTGACCCCCCCCCAGCCCCGACGCCAGGGTGAGGGGCTCCCGGTGACCCCCCCCCGCCCCGACGCCAGGGTGAGGGGCTCCCGGTGACCCCCCCCCGCCCCGACGCCAGGGTGAGGGGCTCCCGGTGACCCCCCCCAGCCCCGACGCCAGGGTGAGGGGCTCCCGGTGACCCCCCCCGGCCCCGACGCCAGGGTGAGGGGCTCCCGGTGACCCCCCCGGCCCCGACGCCAGGGTGAGGGGCTCCCGGTGACCCCCCCGGCCCCGACGCCAGGGTGAGGGGCTCCCGGTGACCCCCCCCCCAGCCCCGACGCCAGGGTGAGGGGCTCCCGGTGACCCCCCCAGCCCTGACGCCAGGGTGAGGGGCTCCCGGTGACCACAGCCCCGACGCCAGGGTGAGGGGCTCCCGGTGACCTCCCCACCAGCCCCGACGCCAGGGTGAGGGGCTCCCGGTGACCCCCCCAGCCCCGACGCCAGGGTGAGGGGCTCCCAGTGACCACCCCCCCCCAGCCCCGACGCCAGGGTGAGGGGCTCCCACTGACCCCCCCCAGCCCCGACGCCAGGGTGAGGGGCTCCCGGTGACCCCCCCAGCCCCGACGCCAGGGTGAGGGGCTCCCGGTGACCCCCCCAGCCCCGACGCCAGGGTGAGGGGCTCCCGGTGACCACAGCCCCGACGCCAGGGTGAGGGGCTCCCGGTGACCCCCCCCCAGCCCTGACGCCAGGCTGAGGGGCTCCCAGTGACCCCCCCCAGTCCCGACACCAGGGTGAGGGGCTCCCGGTGACCCCCCCCCGGCCCCGACGCCAGGGTGAGGGGCTCCCAGTGACCCCCCCCCAGCCCCGACGCCAGGGTGAGGGGCTCCCACTGACACCCCCCAGCCCCGACGCCAGGGTGAGGGGCTCACCGCCGCCGAGCAGCAGCGTCACCTCCCCGCAGGCGCAGTCGTCCTCGCCCAGCAGCAGGCAGCTGTAGGTGCCGGCGTCCTCGCCCCGCAGGTGCCGCAGGACCAGCACCCCAGGGGGGTCCCCGGGGGCCGCCAGCGCGGCGCGGCTGCCGTAGGGTGGGCCGCAGTGGGGGCGGCCACGGCTCCGGCTGCAGACGGCGGCCCCGGCGCCCGCGGGGTCACCCCGAAAGTGCCAGTGCTCGGCCAGCAGCCGGCCCAGGGGGGCACCCGCCACGGGGCACCCCAGGGTGACGCTGGCACCCACCGTGCCGTTGGCCTGCGCCTGGCCCCGGTGGGGGCTGTGGCACAGCCCGCAGCCCCCCGAGGTGTCGCCGCGGCCCGGCTCGCCTGGGGACAACGGGGGCTGTCACCAGCACGGGCACCCACCCGTGGCACAGACATGGGGGGGATCTGGGGGCTGTCACCGTCCCACGGCCACGGGGGACGGTGCTGCGGGACCCTGGGGGCTGTGACCCTCCCACGGCCACGGGGGACGGTGCTGCGGGACCCTGGGGGCTGTGACCCTCCCACGGCCACGGGGGACGGTGCTGCGGGACCCTGGGGACTGTGACCCTCCCACGGCCACGGGGGACGGTGCTGCGGGACCCTGGGGACTGTGACCCTCCCACGGCCACGGGGGACGGTGCTGCGGGACCCTGGGGGCTGTGACCCTCCCACGGCCACGGGGGACGGTGCTGCGGGACCCTGGGGGCTGTGACCCTCCCACGGCATGGGGTGGGGACTCGCCACCGCGGGGCACTCGGGGACCGCCACCGCCACAGCCCGGGGGCAGGACGGGGACAGGGATGGGGACAGGGACTTCTCCTCCCCCAGCCCCGAGCTCCGCCGTCTCCCGCAGCCCCCCAGCACCCCCCGGAACCCCCCGGAACCCCTGCACCCTCCCAGAGCCCCCCAGACCCCTTGGACCCCCCAGCACCCTCTCCACCCCCCGGACCCCCAGCACCCCCAGCACCTCCCGCACCCCTAAAACCCCCCAGCACCCACTGCACCCCCCAACACTTTCTTGCCCCCCAGCACCCTTTGCACCCCTAGAACCCCCCTGCACCTCTTGGACCCCCAGCACTTCCCGCCCCCCCCAACACCTCCTTGCCCCCTCCGCCCCCCCCAGCGCCCTTTGCACCCCCCGGCCCCCCCGAGCAGCACCCACCGGGGGGCAGCAGGGCCGGGCCCAGCCCCAGGGGCAGCAGCAGCACCCACATCTCCGGGCGGTGGCTGCGGGGGGGCGGGACGGGGCGGGGGCCGGGGCGGGCGGGGGCGGCACCGAGGGCGTTGGGGGACACACACACACACACCACTGGACACACCACCCACCCCCCCCCGTCCCGGGGCTGGCGGGGTCTCCCCGGGGTCGCCCCACGCCCCTCACGCCGGGGAGCCCCGGGGGAGACCCCGCCAGTCCCGGGGCGGGCAAATAGGGACCCCCCCCCCACCCCCCCAAAAGAGGGACGGATCCAGCGACGTGGCGGGCGGCGCCTTCCCGGTATCCGCCTTGGTGACCCCCAAAGGCACCCGCCGCGTCCCCCCCAAATCCCCGGTGTTGTCACCTCCCTTGTCACAGCGGCTCTGGCGCCGGGGGGGTCATTGTCACCCCTGTGTCCCAGCCAGGGGGTCACCATCACCCCCCTGTCCTGCCCGGGGGGGGGCACTGCCACCCCTGTGTCCCACTGCTGTCCCCACCACCGGAGGATGCTCGGGGGGTGGTCCAGGGTGTCACTGTCACCCTTGTGTCTCGCTCAGGGGGTCACTGTCACCCCCATGTCCCACTGCTGCCCCCCCCTTTCCCCCCCATGCACCGAATCCATCAGGGCTCAGCACGGAGGAAGGGGGCTGCTTGCCGGGGGCACCCGAACCCCTAAACCACCACATCAACCCCCCCAATCCTCACCGGCCCTGAAGGTGCTGCCCCCCTGACTCCCCCCGCCCCCACCCCCCCCGGCTGCCCTCCCCTCCCCTTCCCAGCTTGGAGCAGGAAAGGGACCCCCCCGGGACACCCGCCGAGGGTCAGGTGCCAGCACCCACGGCGTGGGGTGGGGGGGGGACCGGACGTTCCCACCCACTGCGGGGAAACCACGCCTGGAGGCTGAGCGTCACCTCAGGCCCTTTATTGGGCGGGGGGGGGGGGGGGGGGGAGCCCCAGGGGGACCCCTCCATCCCGAACCCCCCCCCTTTTCCTGGCCCCGCCTCAGTCCTCCAGGTTGCGGAAAGCCGCCTGCATCTCCTCGTTGAGCTGGGCGAAGGCTGCCGTGATGTTGGCTTCGCCGTCCTTCACCGGGTCCTGGGGACACGTGGGACACGGCGGCATCACCCCACCCCCCCCCGGCATCGATGGGTGTCACAGCTCCCCCCCCCCCCCCCCCGACACCCACCTTGAACTTCATGGCGCTCAGCTTGTAGAGGATGTCCCCCAGGCTCTCGCGGATGGTGGCCCAGGTGACGCGCCGCTCGCCCGGCGCGGTGGCCTCCACGGCGTGCCGCGCCAGCTCGTAGAAGGTGACCATGTTGTGCAGCATCCCCACCGTCTTGTAGAAGGGGCAGAACCTGGGGGGCTGGGGGGGTCAGAACCTGGGGGGTTGGGGGCCGGGGGGCGGCGGGGGTGGCGGGGGTACCTGTCGTAGGAGGAGTAGCCGTTCTGCTGGAGGAAGTCGTCCTTGAGGAGCTTCGCCACCTCCAGCGTCACCTTGTCGGCCTCGGCGAGGGACGCCTGCGGGGGCAGGTCTGGGGTGTCCCGATCCCCACCCCATTCCATATCCCCCGTCCCCATCCCATCACAGCAACACAGACCGGTTTGGGGTGGGAGAGCCCTCAAAGCCCCCCCAGTGCCCCCCCCTGCCCCGGGCAGGGCCCCCTTCCCCCAGCCCAGGGGGCTCCCAGCCCCATCCAACCTGGCCTTGTCCCCACCATGTCCCCACCCACATCCTCCACACCCCCATCTCCATCCCACACCCCTTGTCCCGTATCCCGTACCCCATATCCCCATCCTCATCCCCAGTATGATTCCATCCATATCCCACATCCCATCACCCCCCCATCCTATACCCCGTATCTCCATCCCCATCTCACATTCCCATCCCATCCTCATCCCTGTCCCTACCACAATTCCATCCCCCCTCCCCCACCCCATCTCCCCATCCCACATCCCACGTCCCCCATCCCCACCCCACCTCCCCGCCCCATGTCCCACCTCCACAATCCTGTATCCCCCGGCGCATCCCCACCCCATCTCCCCCATCCCATACCCCCATCCCCATTCGATCTCCCCCGTTCCCACCTCCTCATCATGTCCCATCTCCTCCACGATCCGATCCCATTCCACCCCCATCCCATCTCCCCACCCCCATCCCATCTCCCCCGTCCCAATCCCGTACCCCCCATCCCATCCCCACCTTGCCGACCAGCTGGACGATCTCGGCCAGCTCCTCTTCCTCCTGCAGGATCTCCCTGGCCCGGCGGCGCAGGGCGGGGAACTCGGGGTGCAGCCCCTCGTAGTGGGGCTCCAGCGCCCGCAGGTACCGGCTGTAGCTGATCAGCCAGTTGACCGACGGGAAGTGCTTGCGCTGCGCCAGCTTCTTGTCCAGCCCCCAAAAAACCTGGGGGGGGGGGGTGTGGGGGGACGGGACACGTGGGGTGGGGGGACCGGGGGCGTGCCGCGCTGGGATGGGGGGTCCCCGCCGCGCCCCGCTCACCTGCACGATGCCCAGCGTGGCTGAGGTGACGGGGTCCGAGAAGTCCCCTCCTGGCGGGGACACGCTGCGGGGGACAGTGTGGGAGGGGGGGGGTTACCAGGGTGGGGGTCCCCGCTGCTGCCACCCCCCCTCCCCGAGACCCCCCCCAAACTCACGCGCCCACGATGCTGACGCTGCCCTCGCGGGCGGGGGAGCCCAGGCAGCGCGCTCGCCCCGCGCGCTCGTAGAAAGAGGCCAAGCGCGCGCCCAGGTACGCCGGGTAGCCGCTGTCTGCGGGGAGCGCGGCGTCACCGGGGGGGATGGAGCCCCTCACCGCGGCCTCGGGGCAAAGGGGGGGGGGTCCGTGTGTGTCCCCTCCTCCCCAAAACCCCAGGGTGGGGGCTCACCCGCCGGCATCTCGGCCAAGCGCCCTGAGATCTCGCGCAGCGCCTCGGCCCAGCGGGACGTGGAGTCGGCCATCATGCTGACGTGGTGGCCCATGTCGCGGAAGTACTCGGCGAGCGTGATGCCTGTGCCGGCGGCACGCGGCTCGCACGCTCGGGGCACGCGGCTCGCACGCTCGGGGCACGCGGCTCACACACTCGGGGCACGTGGCTCGCACGCTCGGGGCACGCGGCCCACACGCTCGGGGCACGCAGCTCACACGCTCGGGGCACGTGGGTCACGCGCTCAGGGCACACGGCTCACGCTCAGGGCACACAGCTCGCACGCTCGGGGCCACGTGGCTCGGGGGCACGGGTGGCCTCGTGGAGTGTGCACGCGCGCGTGGGCGCTCACTCACGCCTGCCCCTGTTCACTCACACGTGCCCACGCGCGCCCACACGCGCCTACGCGCACTCGCGTGTGCACATGCTTGCTCACACCTGTCCACGCTTGCTCACACGTGCCCACATGCACTCCCAGGCATGCACTTACTCGCACATGCCCACTCACACTCACATGCGTGCACACTCACACACGCGTGCCCGCGCGCGCCCACCGGTGTAGATGGAGGCTTCGCGAGCAGCCACCGGCATGTTGGAGGTGTTGGCCACCAGCGTCGTGCGCTTCATGATGGTCTCCGTCCTCCCGTCCGCCTCCATGGTGAGCTGGGGACGGCATCACCCTCACCGTCACCACCGCCACCGCCCAGCCCCGCGGCGCCCGGCTGGCTGCCACCCCCGCCGTGTCACCCGTCCCCACCTCGGGGAAGTCCCGCAGGACCTCGGACATCTCGTTGCCGCGCTCGCCGCAGCCCACGTAGACGATGACGTCGCTGTTGGAGTACTTGGACAGGGACTGGGAGATGACGGTTTTGCCGCAGCCGAAGGCGCCCGGGATGGCCGTGGTGCCGCCCTGCACGCACCTGGGGACGGGGACACGCGGGGACGGCCCGCAGCGCTGGCTGCGGAGGGGGGACGGTCTCCCCACACCCCCCCGCCACGTCCCCACGGAGGCAGGAGGGACCCTCGTCCCTGTCAC